CCCCATTCACGGACCACCATTTGGTGGCCGTGGAGGCCTCTCTAAGTGCAGAGAGGCTGGAGCCGGCCTACTGGCACTTTAACAGTAGCCTGCTGGAGGACATGGGCTTCGTGGCGTCCTTCCGGGAGTTCTGGCTGGCCTGGCGCAGGCAGCGGCCCGCCTTTTCCTCGGCGCAGCAATGGTGGGACATGGGAAAGGTGCACGCCTGGCTCTTTTGCCATGGACCCCCAGCAGGGAGGGGGGCCATCATTCGATCCTGCTTCCAAGATGGATCACGGCTCCCACTTCTTCTATGCCCTGGAGAATAAATGAGGGGGGCCAAAAAGCACATCACCTGCCTCTTGGTGGAGGATGGCACCCCTCTCATGGATCCGGTGGAGATGGGTGGAAGGGCCAGGGCCTTCTACGCCAGTTTATTCTCCCCGGATCCGACCGAAGCCGACGCTTGTAGGGTGCTCTGGACTGAATTCCCAATGGTCAGCACAGGCGACTGGGACCAGCTATTGCTGCCTCTCTGGCTAAGTTCTCAGAAGCCCTCCGTCTTATGCCCACCAACAAAACCCCAGGCTGACCGTGGAGTTCTACTGCATGTTCTGGGACATCCTCGGCCTAGCCTTGTCACCGTCTCACTCCTTAGCACGGACTATAAAGTTGTAGCAAAAGCCATCTTGCTGAGACTGCAGTCCGTGCTGCCGGACATGGTCCACCCCAACCAGACCTACACCATCCTGGGCTGTAGCATCTTTGATAATCTGTACATGGTCTGGGATTTCATGGAGCTTGGGTGTAAGGATGGTTTGTAGTTTGCTTTCCTGTCCCTGGACCAGGAGAAGGTGTTCAACAGTTCTTTAAAGACTAACAAAATATGTAGATGGTATCCTGAGTTTTCGTGGGCACAGACCAGAGTGTTGGATGTCCAGCACTAAAATAAATAGGGGAGAAGGAAGGGGGTAGGAGGGAAGAAGAAAAGAAATGTGAGGGGGACAAGAAGAGGTAGTGGGTATTCTTGTTCCCCCCCTCCCCCTGCCATTCCTTTTCCTCTTCCTTTCCTCCCTCCCCTTCCCATGTTGATAAAATAAACCAGACCTTTTGTTTTGAAATAAGAAACTCTATTTTTGTTTAATTGGGGCACCTGAAACAGTTTGTGTACGATAATTGTCATGTTTCTTTCAGCTCAGCACTTGGCAGGATTTTCTGATGCACTTAGCATTGGCCTAACAGCTCCCACTGAAGTCAGTTACAATTGTGAATGCTTTTAAAAATCCCAAATATGTCATCTTCACCTTGAAGAAAGTTGTATATCCAATTCTTTCTATATTAAATATCTCCTAAGGTGTCAAAAACTCGGTGGCAGCATGAATACATTTGTTGTATTCTCATTTCTGCTATTAATATAGGCAATAGATGAAAGAATGGACTCACTTGTTCTTCTTTTTTCTTTGCCACCTCCTGTAGCCACATACACACTAAATGCCAGAACAGCTTTTAAGAAGTCATCTTTTTCACAGATCTCCTTAACAACCATATCCACTTCTGAAGTGAGTGGCGTTTTTCCTCTTCTATTTAAGCACTTTGGTATATTTGGGCCTGATTCAGAGTCAGTGAAAGGTAATGAGACTTTCCATTGACTTCCAGGGACTTTAGATCAAATACAAGTTGACCTTAACAAATCTAAGTAATTTTTTAAATTTCTAGAATATTGCTCTTGAGAAATGGTAGGCTCTACTGATAAATCAAGAGATTTTATGCTCTGAAATATTAGAACTGTAAATACAGAATCAGAGTTAAAGAACTTCTTACCAGGTGCTAATAAAAAAGCTTGCTTCAAAATAAGATTTTGAAGTATGCCAGAAAACTCATAAATAATGCTAATACAGGGGTAGGCAGTAATTTTTGATGGGGAGGGGGCACTCCAAGATTTTGGAAAGTTAGGGTGGGCCTTGAGCTGGCTCAAATAGCTTGGGAGGCTGAATCCAGCCTGTCTTGTCTGCCATATCTTGTGGGCCATATCTTGTCTGCCCCAGCTGTTGAATGACCACAGGGGGGCAGCAAGGGGCCAGATATGAGACTGGGACAAATATCCCATTGGGGCAACAGAGGGCAGAAGTGGACAACTATCTACTATGTATTTTAGAGTGTTTTTTTTTTTACATGTGTGTCTATCCCCCAGCCAGGGGACATGCACTCCTCCACAGCTGTGTCTGCTGCAATAGCCATGAAGAGGCACTTCTCACCTGGCTCCTAGCTGCTGCTGTGAGACGGGGCTGGGATTGTCCTCTCTCTCCAGGGCAGCCTGCATCCTGAAACCCTCGTAGAATCATAGGGTTGGAAGAGACCTCAAAAGGTCATTGAGTCCAATCCCCTCATCTCTAGCCTCACCCTAGAATAATAATTTAAATGAAGAAAAACAAAAATTAATTGAGGTAAGGACCCGAGCAATGCTGGGGAAATCCTCCTATCTCCATATAAACAGAGTATTAGAAACAGTTTTCAGATCAGTGAAAACAAGGATGGTCAAAACATGGCCTATGGCATGCTAGTCTTCATTATCTACCTCTGTAGTATAGTGCTAAGTTTTCATCTTATCTTGTATCTGGGATTGTGACATGGTTAGGGAAGACTATGCCCAGTGCAGGGCAAGTATACCTGTCTCTTAGGGAATAGGGGAGCATGCATGAAATTCCCAGCTTTGTCCTTCCCAACCTGTGTCTATATGTTCATCTTCAATCATGAGGCAGTATGACCTAATAGCCCAAGTCGGTAAACTCACCCCAGTCCACATGGTAGTGAGGCCCAACAGCCAGATGCAGGAAATAAGGAAGGGGTTTGTATCTTCCATTAGGGACAGGGGAAATCCATCCAGGCCCTCCCTCTCGACTGGACCCCTGCCCACAGCCCTATTATAGGCTGTAGCCCAAACCACTAAGTCAGCAGGGAAAGCACCTACTGAAACATGCTGACTTCCAGCATCAGCTCACTCACCAATTAGCCATCCTTGTCTCCTGGGCTGCTTCCTGCTACTGTCCCCACAGCTGCAGTGCAGGCCTCCATCTCACATCCCTGGCCCATGGGCTGCCCTCTCCTTGGCATCTCCAAACCCCATGAGGTCTCTGGGAACATCTTGCCTTCAGTCTGGGTCACAAGGTCACCATCCCTGGGTTTCTGTAGCAGCTTATCTGGAACAGCCAGTACACATTCTCTCCCTCCTGCTGTCAGCCCCCACTGAGCTGAGCTGCTTTCTTTTATACATGTGCACCTGGAGCATGCCCAGTACAGCAAAAGGGGTGCTGCTTTCTCAGCTCTCAATATAGGGTTTACCCTCCCCTGTCCAGTGTGGGGGTGAGTGCATCCCATTACAGGGACTCCGATCAAAATCTTCAAATCAGTACTCTTTTCTCAGACGCAATCTTTGTCACTTGGGACAAGGATGGACTTTCACTATAGAAAAGGAACACCATGCCAGAAGATGTAGGCCACCCAGGCTGAAAAAAAGTTCCCTGTGTTAGGAGAAGGGACAATAGACATAGGAAGGCCGAGGGTAAGGACAGACCTTTCATGTGCAGAGGACTATACTAGATGACCTATTGAGGTGCCTTCCTGTCATGATATTATAATTCAGTGCCATTATTTTGTTTCAATGTGTTACCACTAAAATAAACCTTTATGTGCAGAGTCTTTATACTTGCAATGATAAAAACTTGTCTAGAAAAAACTCTGGGGAATATATAGACGAAAAAAAAATCCTGTAGGGGTTTTCAAACTGGAACTCCAATGACAGTAGTGTGGTTTCCCACTGTGGTGATAGCCTTCCATCACGCCTGCAATAGGTAGAAAGAATTTCCTTGTTTGTTGGCTCTGACAGAAGTAGTATTGCACTAGCATCTTAGAACCCTTGCAAATAGCTTCACATCTATAATTTTCAAAAGCTTCTCCTCTTCCTCTCCTGTGCCTGGAATTTTGCCTTCTTCCCACACAGGATCACTATCAGTACTGCAATAGGTAGAAAGTCCTAACTGCTCTCTCACCATTTCTCACCTTTCTTTTCCACCCATCAAAAAGAAACTCAAGCCCTTAACCTCAAACGAACCCTCCCTTTGTTTTTTCCACTGCCCTCCTGATGCCCTCCCAGATTTACCTTCCCCGTATAGCTCAGAATTAAATAGATTGGAGTAAAAGACAAAATGGAATAAAATTGTGTGGAGTAAGAATTGTTCAAAGGGGCGGGAAAAGAGGGCAAGAACCAAAGAAATTTGGAGGAAGAAGACAAACTGGGAATTAAAGAGAAGCGTAGGTTATTAAATTAATGAGATGATAGACTGGTGGGGCAAATGGAGATTTCATGGGAGAGAATGGAGAATTGGCCTATGGTGTGAAGGGCTGAAGACTGACCAGCAAATGGGTGTACACAAAGCAGAAAACGTTGCAGATAGAAAGGACAGTAGGCATGAAGGGCACATTCTGGAGTGGATATGAGGGCATGGGAAAGAGAAAAAAAGGAGGGAGAGGCTGAGGGAAGTGGGAGAGAGCTGCAGCACTCAAGAAGAACAATAGGGGACGATGTAAAGGCCATCAAAGAAGGGGAACAACTGGGATGGACGAGAGGAAAGCCATTTTATGTACGAATATGTAGGTGCCTGGCAAATCCAAAGATGCTTGGGGGAGTGGCCCCTGTTTGATGGGTGGCATTTGTTACTCAGGCCAGATACATGTGGAAGTACACTGTGTAGTGAAAGGCGCAGAAATCTCATTACATGTTGGACACAGCACCCGGCGGTTCCCCATTTGCTCCCCAGCTCACTGCCCCGGGCCGCCCCACTCCTGTTTGGCTAGTTGGGGACCTGCGGCCACCCAATCAGCGCAGGCTCCCTCCCCCCGGCGTGCCCTGCATCTGAACCACACGGACTTCCCCCGATCACACCGCTCCCTCCAGAAGGGGCGGGGGCTACAGAATTGGGGAGCCAATCAGACAGAAGAGCTGCCCCGTTCTCGCCTCTCGGGAGCCGCGCGGGGCGCCTGTGGCAGGGGCTCTCGGGTGTCGGCGGCGCAGCGGCAGTGAGCGTGCGGCGGGCGGGCGCGCAGCAGCGTGGATCAGCGATCGCCTTGCCACCGCCGCTGCGGGAGGAGGGGTCTGTCTGCGCTTGTGCAGGAGCTTGCTCGTTGCTTTACTTTCGCAGCCCAGGGCAGGGACATTATGCCGAAGAGAAAGGTAACGCGCCGCGCTGCCCGTGTGTGGTCGGGCGTTCCTGTCGCCCGCGTGCACTTCGCAGGCTCTGCCTCGGGTTGCCTGCAAGCCTGGGGCGATTTTTTTTCTGGGACGCCGCTGATTGCTCTCGAGCCTGGGTATTTGTACTGCCTGTTGCAAATATCTTCCGCCCTTCCCTCCGGTCGCTGATTTATTGATTTGCTCCTTACTTCTGCTAACCTTGTGGCGAGCCCCGTCCTCTCGAATGCGAACTCGCTGTCACAACTCCGATTCCTCTCCCTCCCCCCAACCCCCACCGGAAAAAAATGCAGCAGCTGCAGCTTCGGCTTTTGCCTCCCCCTGAGGAGTTTCCTGCTTGCAAACTCCAAGCAGTAGCTCATCAATCTCTGGGGGGAAAATCCCCCGTGTCCTGGCTGATTCTGCCCTCGGCTGAGTCTGCTTTCTGCCTTGCTTGGTGCCCCGGTGATGGCTCCAAGGTAAAAGGAGGAAGGGAGAGAAAAGCCATGTTTAAAACAAACTACACCCTTCTCCTTGCCTCCTGTGACAGACCCGTATGTACCAACTCTGGTGTCAATCAGGACAGGAGTCTGCACCGACAGGGCCCCGTGTAGCACAGGGGGATCTGCTTACACATGGTATCAACAACAGCAGAGAGTTTAAAAACAGCACCATGGGAGACTCCTGTGTGCGACACAGCAGAGCGCTGCACCCCAGAGACAGGCAAGAGTTGGGGAGGAGGGAGAGGGAGCTGCTGCTTCTGCGGAGTCTCTGCCTTGTGGGGCTTGGAGACTTTTTTACTGAACGAATGTATTCGCCTCCCTTCTTCCCCTCCCTCCCGCCTCAGTGTTTCCTTCCTTCCTCTGCAGAGCTGCTACTGCCGGAATTTACTTGGGTCCTTTATTTGCCTTCCAGGCTCTGTTGTACTTTATTTTTCCTTCTAGCACATTTTCTCCCTTCTCCTCAGGATGGAGGCTCTGATATATTTGAGGGGAGGGAAATGATGCTTTACTTGGCCACCCTTCCCAGGGACACCCCTCGCCCCCCAAACATCCAGGCAAAAGTGCAATACATGTTTCGTATGTTGTTGCTTTGTACTGTTTGCCCCAGTCTGAAACACTATTAATTTAAATGTTAACTTCCATAATTGTCTGCTATGGTGCTCCTTGTACCTTCTTTGAGACATCTGGTACTGGCTACTTTTGGAGGCAGGACACAGGAGTAAGATGAACCACTTGTCTGATCTGTTATGGGAATTCCTATCTTTTATATCTGGAAGCAGGGAATGTACAGATTTACAAACTTGCATATTGATTATTAATATTTTCATTTTTAACACACCCAGTGCCTGAGCTTCTGGGGGAAAAATGTAGTATTTTGAAAATGCTCATTTATTACATACAGTTACAACAGACTGTTACCAGGTTTTTCACTATGGCTGGGTTTTCTAAAGGGCAGTTAGCCACCAGGTTTGGGAGTTGGAGGCTAACTTGCTTAGGCCTTCTTGAAAATCCTCGCCTGGAGTGTTTTTTCTCTTTACTGCAGTTACTCCTAGAATGTAATTAGAGACTTGACACTAATATACTATGTTTAAAAAAAAAAACACCACCACTACTCTACGATAAACCAATAACAACAAAAAATCTTCCAGTCTTTTAATATTAAACTAGGTCAACATAGGAGAAGCAATTTTACTGTATTGGAGATGTCCAGAATATCTGCAGATGACCTCCCTATAATGCTGATCAGGGTTGTATCTGAAAACCATTTTAATCAAATAACTATTAGATGATCATTTCCACACACTTATGACTTCCATTTTTGTCTTTTACTGGTTCCTTGTTGCATTTTGGGTACAATAAAAATATTCAGTGTGCTACAGAAGTATTTCCAGTTTTTATTTTTTTTTAACTTGAGTTGATGTATTTCTCATGAAATTGAGGGACTAATATACTTGGCTTAAATGTAAAAAAAATACTGTATCACTTTCTTCATCGCACTGTGTCAGTGCATTCTTGTCCAGGCCTAAAATGCTCCTTTTCTCTTCCAGCGTGATGCCTTTCATAAACAATGATTGCTAATGAGGCCATGTTTTGAGGAAGCACTTTGAAGTTAGTCCTCATTCCATTAGGAACTTTGCAGTGCGCTCTCATGCTTTCCTGACATTTTTACATTCTTGCCTTCTTGAGAGTCTTCAGTATTAAACTTCAAAAATACATTGGTGGGCTGCAAAATTAGGTGAGATTTCTTTGCCAATGGTTGAGGAGCACATTGTAGCTAAGCAATAGGCTTAGATTTTTGTTGTTGTGCATTGTTTCAGGTAGCCCTGGTCTACATTAAAATGGTATATCAGATCAGTCAGGGATGTAGAAAATCTCCCCTCCCCTGAGCAACACAGTTATACCATCTGAGCTCACAATGTAGACAGTGCTAAGAGATTGGAGGGCTTCTCCTGTCAACATAGCTATTGGAGGTGTAATACCTATGTCAGTGGGAGGAACTTACCAATTGGCATAGATAGTGTCTTCACTAAGGGTGAGTCTACACTGTAGGGCTTAACTCAAAATAAGCTATGCAAATTGAGCTACGTCAATTGCATAGCTTATTTAGAAAGAGCTTATTTTGAAATAGGGAGCGTCTACGCAGCACTTACTTGGAAATAGAGCACTCTTCCTCTGACTTCCCTTACTCCTCGTACAATGAGGGTTACAGGAGTCAGAGTAATAAGTCCTCCAGCTTGACAGTATTTTTGACATTATTTCGAAATAACTGACTGCTGTATAGATGCGGACTAAGTCATTTTGGAATAGCGCTAGTTATTTCGGAATAGTGTTTCAGTGTAAACGTACCCTAAGTGCTAGAGTGTTGCATGTGCAGTGCTGTAAGTGTAGACAAGCCCTTAGCCTTTGAGAAACAAGTCTGAAAAATAAGAACTAGGTTTTTTTTCCCTTTTTTCTTCATCATATTAGTCTTAAAATTAAACCCACAATTAAAGGGAAGCTTATTAAGTAAATTTAATGTAAGTCTTTGTGTGAATGAATAGTCTTGAAGCTAAGTGTGTTTATTAATTCTGGTTGTTGGAAAGCCCAGAAACTCGTGGGAAGTTGAGACCATAGGCGTGTCCACATGGGGAAATTGACTGGCATAGCTAGGGTAGAATAATTATTCCAGACTAATGATGAAGTAAAATCACTTTTATTCCAAAATACAGTGTTTATATTGTGGACCTATACTAGAATAGATATAGCAGAAAAATGATTGCACTGTAATGTTGCCAGTAAATTTCACTATGTAATTTCTTTTTCTGTAGTGGACTTCCTAGTTAAAACAAATATTTAAATACACAAATGTAATTTAATACTGGTTTAGTTGGGCAAATTAGAGCTGTCTCTAATAAAAAAAAAAAAAATTGCAGGTAACCAATACTGCAGCTTGCACATTCCTGGAGCTATGTGACTGACTAATACAGTGGTTCCCAAACTTTTTGGCATCACGCCCCCCCCCCTTTTGATTTTTGAAAAACCCTCACCTCCCTCCAAATAGCAGCAAAACTTGTTAAGCAAAAAAGGAACTGAATAGGGCAGCAAAACTTGATGGTGGGGGAGGCTGGGTCACCTTGCGCCCCCCCCTGGAATTTCTTCACGCACCCCCAGTTTGGGAACCCATGAACTAATAAATTTGCAGAAAGGGTGTGTGGGAAATGCAGAAGTAAAACCAGATTCATACTTGTCTTTATGCATGCTTTTTTATCTTGATTGAGTAGTCATGTTCTCATTTCCTTTTGTCCTTTTAACTCTTTCTTCTGTGTGTAACTCAAGAAGTCAGCACCTGAATCCCTTCATTATCAAACAAGGGTTGGAAATTACTTTTAGTTTACTATCCCCAGCTCTGATGGACTATGGTTGTGGGAATGGAAGGGGCAAGTGAAAATATATTGAGTTGATGTCAAATACTACAATAAAACAAAGAGAGGTTTGGTGCTGGACTCTTCCAGTTAGACCTTCACATGTGTGATTGCTTGTAACACCACATAATGAAGTGAATATAATGTTTCACAAAGAGAACAGTGTGCATGCATGGGATAAACTAGAGCATTTGTGTGGTATTGGTTGTTCTCCAGCCCTAGTTGAACTGAACTTTCAAAAATACAATATAAGCTGTTTGCAATTCTTTTAGAACTATGAAACAAGTACACTAAAAATGTCTTTGCATTAGCCATAAAGAAATGGGGAACGAAAATCTGTCCCATGACAAACTCCAACAGTAGTATGAAAAGTCTGATTGCCAGCATGTTTTTTTTTAAATGATTTTAACATGATCATCATCAAATTGCAGTATTTGTGAGCCTGTAAAATTTGTGCATCATGGTTGAGAAATATAAAGAACTTCTGTAACTGATCTGAGGTCAGACAAGTGTCTATGGTTTAGTTGAGATTACACTCTTTAGTTAGGATTGATTCTCTCTCCCACCACCACCACCACAAGACAATACTGATTGACCCTGTTTTTTCATTTTTTTTTTTTAAAATTTGAGATTGAACCAAACGTGAGGACTAATTGCAGCTTGATTTTTTTAAAATCTTTTAAACAACACTTTTGGACACTAAAGTACTATTTCAAAGCAAGAAAATGACTTAATGGATACTCATGTGTCTAATTAAAGGTGTAAATCATTTGCACACTTATTGTAATCCCAAATCCCAACTAGGGCAGTAGGATTGATGTTAGACTGTGGTGTATGCTTAGCAGAAATAACGAGGGATTTTGGGTTAACATCTTTGATAGGGTTCTACAGAATTATAAAAACTCAGTTAAAATATGTGGGCATGTACTTTTTTTGAAACTATGCTAAAGGAGCATGAAGACTGCATGTGTTTAGAAGTTATTAAATGGCTTAATTTGGCCTTATAAATTCTGATACAGTGTTAAATAATTTGATTACATAGAACTCTTCTTACAGGACCCCCATTTAGTGCACTGGATGCACAGTACTAGCTGAATGGTAT